GGCTTCTCTTCCAAACTACGTCCCAAATACGAAGGCCCCTACCGTGTCATCGAGCGCACCTCACCCGTCAACTATCTGATCGAACCCGTTGAACAATCTTCGGACATGCGCCGCCATGGGCGAGACATCGTCAACGTGGAGCGCCTGAAGGCTTATTATTACCCGCTCATAGTAACAAGCTGTTAAGTCGCCAGGCAGCTCCCTCTTCGACCCCGGGGTAATTGTAGCGAAGCCTCTGAACTCTGAAATGGGTCGAACTCTTGAGTACCTTCTAGTGGGGCTACCCAACAAGGACGCCGCTCGCGCTGAGAGCCCGTGCTTGGCTGTGACTGTCGCCATTGTATATTCTCGCTCGTTGCCGGCTAATAAACGCCTTAACAGTAGCTACAAATATTCAAACGGATTCCAACGTCGGTGGCAGTATACGTTCAGATAGGGCGGAAGTGGCGGAGCAGGCGGCTATAGCACTAGCACTAGCCTCCACAAAAGCCGAAGTTGTGATCAGCGATTCCAAAACCGCTGTTGAAAGTTATGCCAAGGGAAGGATCTCACCGGAAGCGCTAAGAATTCTGGCAAACTTTTGCGACGAACGGGTAGTTCATATTGTATGGGCACCTGCTCACTCCTCCCTCCCCGGAAACGAAATCGCGCACGACCTGGCTCGAGAACTGGCCGGCCGAACAGGCGCAGCGCGAAGTCCGGGGGCGGAGAGAAAGCACGTGATTAGTTATGAAGAGATTACAAAACACAACAGGCTAGGAAGGGTTCGAATCCCCCCGGCACATACCTCGCTCAACAAGCAGCAGGCGACGGCATGGCGCCTCTTACAAACCAACACGTTCCCGAACCTGGTAACATTTGACTGAATCTACCCAGAGATACACTCAGATTTGTGTAAGTTCTGCAATCAAAGGGCGTATCTCAATCATGTAGTATGGGCTTGCCCCTCAGTGGCATGGCAGTATAAAACATACAGCAATGTAGAGCAGTTGGAGGCCACACTGCTAAGCGCAGACCCCGAAGTGCAACTCAACGTCCTTCGGCAAGCCGAGGATGCCGCCAGAGCGCTAGGACTCATGGCTGCCACCTGGGGGAAGGAGACAATTCTTCCACATCTTGCCGGGTTTTTTTTTTCTTTAAAGAAGTTATTTGCTCCTTCGTACTCTGGAGAGCTGAAAGCGGCCCCGTGGACATGCTTAACGAGCTCTTGGCGAATGTGTTTTGTAAAAGTGGTTAACGATTTAGAGTACTTAATACTCTACTATGGGAAAGCCGTTTTGTCACATACCTCGATTTTCGCTACAGACTTTCAGAAAGCAAAGGTAAACCAGCAGCTTTATTTCCATCATCTTCCACCGTTGTTTTCCTGGTTATATACGGAAGGTAAACTGCACTGTTTTATCAACATAACTTTTGATGCAACAAACTCAAAAACAGCAAGTGTGAATTGGTACCAAAGAATGTGTCTCTTAGTATTGTGCAGTATATTTCTTCTATTTAAGAACCTATTTACATGGCTTCTTGACAGACGGAATAGTGCGCCAACGTGACGAACACACGAAGTGACAGGGACGAACGTCTCGACGTTCTTCCGTGTGCATGCCTTGTGTTTTTATATCCGCGTCACATGTGTTCGTCCCTGTCACTATACTGCTGATGATGCAACAATTTATTTGTGAAAAAAAGAAGGGAGGGGAGAATGTCAAGAGTGGTTTGCCCATTCCAGGACACCAGTTGCCGCTGCAGCTCGACCGGCCTGATCCAGGAGACCCTTCTGGGTCTTCAGGTCAGGTCGGGCGAGGACCGCCTTCCAAGGCTTTCCAGTAGCGTGAGTATCAGAGGCGACTGTAACTCCATAGGCTTGCTCCGGGAGTCCCACGTGACGTGTTGCAACGTCGCTCTCGACTTGCACCACGGACATTGGTTGACATACGCACTGGAGTTTATCTGATGCCACCTTTCCAAAGGTGGATATGTGTTAACCTGAATTAGCCTTAGCTGGCAAGCTTCGTCAACTTTAAGCGATTTGTGCGGTGGGACATACCTCTGTCTTGTCTTCCGTTGATGCTCGAGTATATCGCGTGCAGTGCAAGGTTCGTACTGATTATCGGTGTCGTTCTTCGCCCGGTTGCTCAAATCACGAGCGAAACTGTGCGCCAGCGCTTTACCCGAGATACATTCGTGGTATGGGCACGAAATTATGGCATGGTCCTATATCAGCCTGTCACATACTATTTTCAAGGCGACATTCGATAGTCCACCACGGAGAAACATTCTGAAGGCTTCCTGGGGATCAGACAAGACTAACGCGGAGGCATTATTTGCCTCTTTAGGTAGAATAGCTAGCGCATTCACCGCCACTTCCGCCGTCGTTGTACAGGTTGTTTCAATTGGCGCTGCGACAGTTTTAGCGGTATGCGGCATTGGTTGAACTGCTAATATATAACGCAGCTCTCGTTTGATTTAGCGGTATCGGTGTATTCTACTTCGTGGCTTTCGCCGAACTGTCTTTGAAGCTGGCGAGCTCTAGCTTGTCTGTTTAGAAAAAATGTTTAACGATTTCGAGTACTTCGTACTCAACTATGGGAGAGCACTGAGCCGTCTCGCTAAAAGAATAAAACTCTTGTCTTCTCGCCACATGGTACAACCTATAGGATTGTTATACAGCAAAGAAGGTAGCGTGGTCCCGTAAATGTGACTTTTGACCTGCGTGATTGAAGTTAGATAATCTTTAGTTGCAGCGAAATACTTAGCCCAAGGCGTGTTAGAATTGGAACACTTAGCATATCTGTATACTATTTTTTTCTTATTCTTGAGTTTCTTTAGTTTACCGTTAAACCACGGGGACTGTGCTCGCTCTTTAACAATAATAGTGGGAATATATTTTGTGGTTCGACGCAACATCTCATTTTTGAACATTGACCAGTTAGTTTCGATGGAGCGCGATTGATAGTGATTTTCGAATTAATCACAAAAGACAGCTAAGTCATCAGTCCGTGTCAACAGAATCCATGTACACCGTGACAGCAGAAAGCGCAGGACTGGGTTGATTTGGCGGAACGTGGGAGAGGCGTCTGCCCTGCAGTGGACGCAATCAGGCTGATGATGGTGACGATAATAACGATGATGGTTTATAATGCCAAGAAATAGCAAAAACTGAAAAAGGAAAACTTGGCTCCGTCATAGGAATTGATATAACACGAATAGGGAGTGTGTATTCACGGAAGAAGTTGAGCGTTTGTTGCGCATTCAGACACAAGAGCTTGTGCAATGTCTATTGGTGTTTGGCAGGTATACCACCGTTCGAAATGAATGCACCCACGTTGACGAGTATAGCGGCACATTTCCATCCCTACGACTAGCCTCCATGATAATTCAACAATTATGGTAGCGGCAGTTGTTAACCTAGACTTAACATATCGTGAACTACGTGAAACGATGACATCAAAGAACTAATAAAGAAAGTCTGCTTTACCGCGAGGGGAAGTAATGAATGTGGCGGCTACATACGGGAATATCACGCGAAAACAGCAAGCACTTCCAGCCCACTGCTCAAGCACAAAGGACGTACCAAAATCACAAGATGGGCTCGAACTAACAACTGTCAAAGCTCGACACTTATGGTGCGCTGCTCAAACACAAAGAAGAATCGACCGAATGAACGCGCACGTATACAGAGGACGAGCACGAACTGTCACAGCTGTAATTTTTCTACGTTTGAGCAGCGCGCTCCTTTCACAAACGAGGTTGTTGTAGAGAAAGAAGTGACGTTTAAGCACCCTGTAACCTCAACGCAAGCCTTGCTGTGAGAGTACAAGACGTACGAATCACTCCCATCACGAGATTAGCGTGCGCGAACGGGTTATCACGACCTGTAAGGCATACAGATGGTATGCCTTACAGATGGTATGCCTTACAGATGGTATGCATATACAGATGGTATATGTAGGCGCGCGCGCACATCGCCGTGCACGAGCGCAGAGGCGATCTTTATTGAGCGCCCTTCGCGCCATATCTCACTAGTGACGTGCCACCTATAGCGCTAAGTATCGCCAATGGGAAGCATTGTATATAATTAGCCTGCCCTTAGTATGCTGAACTCGCACTTCGTCATCGTCACCAACGTCATCACCATAATCATCATCCCAGCAGCTGTGTGCCACGCGCAGAGACCAATAACAACAACAAAGCACGCAACCTATTTTTCAACAATATCAAGTCATATCTAGTTGCAGCTCCAACACAGTGGCTGTGAAAAATATATTCACCTATAATTCTATATTTTACTGAAGGTATACTGCTACTTCGGAAAATAAACGAGTAACACTTTGTGAGAGCATTGTAAAATTGAACAATTATTAACGTGATAAGCTTCCTATAGGCATTCGCACTAGAAAGTTTTGAAATTATGCAAACGCAGGGTATGTTTAATTTATTGCGACTAATAAACGTTCGGTGCTTGACAATCTATTTAAAAAAGCGCGAAAATTTTCATATATGAGACGTTGACCTAAAAAACTGCGACACCCAAGTATTTATGACCTTTGAAGGATGGCAATACCTTGAAAGGGCACTCCCACACAGCATTACAAGTGCATACTGTCGCAGGTTTCGAGTATACATCAGGCCGAAATTACCATATTTGAACTACAATATAAGGCAGACAATAGCTGAGGGACGAATGTAGTACCGCTCAGTGTTATTCCATCATTGAGTACGTCATGTAATGCGCAAATCTAGTTTAAACCAAAACAGGCTTAAGGCGAACCTGTTCACGGCACAAGTTTACGGGTGAATTTTAAGCTATAGAAATTTACGGCAGTCACATTGAATGGCGTCAGAATAAAAGGCTAGGCTTCAGAATCAAGCACAAGAGGAAGGCTGCCGGTTAGCGTCACACGTCCAGCGCTTGCGGACATCGTAGAACGAGCCCTTTCACTCCTTTCGAGCACGGAGAGCGTCCACGGGAGAGAAGGGCTCGCGGAGACGACGTCCCTTTTTCATGCTTTCTTCTTGAGCGCGAAGATCTGACCATCGCAGTTGTTCCGGTAGTCCTGGACCTTCTTGCGGACAACGATCTCCATGCGGAACTGGCGGCACAGCGACTGCAGCGTGCCGGTAAAGTGGGCCTCCAGGAACTGCTCAGATTTGCTCTCGTAGGCGTCTAGCGTGCGGTTGATCCACATGAGGCGGCCGTTGGCTGCGTTTCAAGTACGCGTGGCTGAGAGAGACTTGTTGCCATTGGCGCGCGCGTTACTGTCGATCTGGCAATGCTGCTGCTTCGTGGAACTAGTGCCGATTATTTTGAAAAGATTAAACAGATATGGTAAAAAAAAACGTATGCCCGTAGTCGATACAGCGAGCAGTGCTGTGTGGGTGTGTGGCATGTCATTGGCGAAAAGGGTTTCATGACGTATTAGCAGCACACAGCCACATTATCTGTGTCGTGACCTGTGGATCATATTCGCCGTGCACCTATCTTCTTCTGATATGACAATTTTGACCCACCACGGCAGTCTAAGTGGCTAAGGGCCGTTCCATGCGCTAGCCGCACACAGGCAACGCACGTGCCAGCACACCTGCCGCACCCAAGCGGGGGGGGGGGGTGAAAGAACATCGCCAATTGGCTTATTTGTCTTCCGCTAGCATGCGAGGCACTGCGCCGTGCTCCCGACCGGGTTGCAGAAATTAGGTGCCTTTTCTCATCTTCTAACCACTACCGCTAGCATGCGTTGCAGCTGTGCGGGAAGCGCGTGGAACGGCTCTCCGTTTCACGCGCTTCCCGCGCAGCCGCAATGCACGTGCCGGGACCCTGCACGCAAGCGGGGGACAAATAAGCCAATTGGCGATGCTGCGGAGGGTGAGAGAGCGTCGCCAATTGGCTGATTTGTCCCCCGCTTGCGTGCGGTAGGGGTCCTGGCACGTGCGTTGCGGTTGTGCGGGAAGCGCGTGGAACGGCCCTAAGGCACTCGGCTGCTGACCCGTAGGTCTCGGAATCGAATCCCGGCAGCGGCAGCCACATTTTTCACGGAGCCGAAAATGATAGAGGCCCGTGCGCTTGGATTTAGGCGCACGTTAAACAACTCCGGGTGGTCTAAATTTTCGGAGCCCTCCACTATACGGCGGCTCTCGTAATCACAATGCGGTTTTAGGACGTTAAACCCCAACAATTGTTATCTGACACTCTTGGCGCATACACGAGAGCACACAGACGTGAGTGGCTTGATCAATCGATAGATAGATAGATGGATAGACAATAATCCATCAATTGGTGGTTTATAAGTGGATAAGTGTTCTGCATTAGTTCCATGAATTAACGCCTGTTTTTATGTCACGCAGCATCATAAGACGAATCGAAAGCGAAAGCTATGTTCTTGTGCTACTCTTCCCCATCCTTCTATAATCTTGATCACCCCTCAACCCCGCTCACGCACACACCTCAGTTTGGTTTAGCACTGCCCCAAAGATCAGTACATCGTTGATCAAGCGAAGATGTCCCGTGATTACGTCACCACGTCACGCCGTAATGACGTCATAAATTTTGGCGATCTTTTTCAACTACGTGCTCACTCAGTGTTGCAATTAGTTACGTCAAGTAACACTGGGGCCATGCGACTTTTGGTTTGCTGATGCGCACACTTTCATTTGCTTGAGCACCACGTCACTTTCGACCGACGGACGTCCATCACTTGCGTTTACACCGACAAGGTATCGCGAAGAATATGTCTCATCAGCCTTGCTAGAGAAGTGATGCTGCAGCGCAGTTTCGAGGTTTACTTAATAAATTATATTTCAAACTCGTTATTTTTCTGTTCTGGCGTTTTCTGCGAGTCGAAGTGTGACACCAGTGGTGTAGGCCAACAGCAACGGCAAAGCCAAATATATAAAATATTCTTCACTCATGAGCTATGCAAGGCTTTCATCTTACAAATAATCACGATTTACGGCTGCACAGATTATTTTTGACAAACCACGGTGCTTCATTTTTGCATTTATTAGTAACGCACGACACATTTTGAGTGTCGTCCTCTGGTTACGCCAAAAATGCTGCTGCGTAGTAAATGAGCTCAGACACAACTTTCGTGCCTTGAAGAAATCAATCACTCAGTCAATCCATCAATCAATCAATCACAACTTACGCTTGACGAGCCTGGCCACCTCCGGTAGAGCATCAGGCATGATGTGGCCGGGCATGAGGGAACCACATAAGGTCACCACGTCGTAATCAGCTGCATGGATCGAAATGAGAACGGAAAGCATATTACAGCAATAAAATTGCACACGAGTGCTTTGATATGTGTTGTATACTAACCAACATGAGAAGCCAATGTTAGCACGATAAAAATTGCAACACATATTTAAGCCCTCAGATCAGTGTAGGTGAGTAATTTTTCTTGAATTAACTGCATCTTCAGTGAATCCCATTCAGTAAAAATTACTACCGAACAATAATTTTTGGTGTTGAAAAAAAAACCACAATAAGATTATGAAGGAAGCCGTAGTGAAGGGCTCCGGAAATTTTTCACCACCTGAATCTAGGTACACGGGCCTCAAGGACTTGCGCCTCCATCGAAAATACGGCCGCCGCTGCTTGGATTTGATTTCGCGAACTGCGGTTGAGCAGTCGATCCCCTTCACCATAAAGATTACCGTGACGGGTGAAATTGACCACCGAATAACCATTAGTAGTTCAAAATAGCAAGCATTCAGTGGCTGTTCCATTTTGTACTTGCGGGCTTCGAGTTTCCCGATCCAATTTTCGTGGTATGCCTGACCCAAGTGTACAGGTACCCACAAAATCGATCGGAGCGCCGGACCGATGGCCGCCCATCGGCGTAGTACATCCGCGGATGCCATGTTCTGCGTGTGCGAGGAATCACTAGCATGCGAGCATCGCGACCTAGTGTATCTAGATATGGGTTGCCTTGCGTTAAAGATTATGCTGTGAGCCCTCCCTTAGCACAGCGACAACACATCAGGGTTGAATTAGGGACCTGTGGGGTATACGGCGTGTTCATGCTCTCTGCAGCTGGATATCTAAGCGCATGGGTAATCCTAGCGTTGCGACCTTTGGTACACTCAATTCATCATCATCATCATCATCATCACATCATCATCATCATCCCGACTACATCCACTGCAGGACAAAGGCCTCCCATGTTCCGCCAATCAACTCGGTCCTGTGCTTGCAGCTGCCGCTTTACACCCGCAGACTTCCACCTTCCACCTAGCTTCCTGTCTCCCTCTCATTAAGGCACTCTGCCATGCTCCCGACCGGGTTGCAGAAATCAGGTGCCTTTTCTCATCTTCTAACCACTACCACCACCACCCTCTCACCCACTTGCCTTCTCTTGGAATCAAGTCTGCCATCCTTAATTACCAGCGGTTATCTTGCCTTCGCGCTACGTGCCTTGCCCATGACAATTTCTTCTTCTTGATTTCGGCTATGATGTCTTTAGCCCCCGTTTGTTCCCTGATCCACTCTGCTCTCTTCAATTACGAATTTTTTCAGTTACTCGTATATAACGAAATTAAGTTAACTCCGAATTAGGCTTCATTTGAGGTGAACAGTTTTATTCCGGCGTATCGATATTGAGCAGTCTCTGTTACTGTTTGCAACACCTAACTGATATTATTTATAAGTACTTGAGCTCATTTAATTAGCTTTAGCACGCTTAAGTGAAGGAGTCATTTGATGTTCGTTTGTTGGTGGGACTCTTGATGTAAAGAAGCCTTGAAGAAGTCTGTATAATCACCTGCTGCTTAACACGTGTTTCATTAAGAGAGAGAAAGAGAAAGAAACTTTATTTATTAATTATAAGCTGCTGTTATGGAAAGAGCCTTATTGGTGGGCCCCAATGGCCGTAGCCACCAGTTCATACTGGTTTATCACTGTTTGCTGGTGGGCCAGGTCCGTCGTGGACAGTGGCACCACCCACTGCTCCGACGTGTGTGTTGGAGTCATTTCTATGCGCGTCATATGGGGTTGGGTCGGGGGGGAAAGTGTTGCTATGAGCAGGCACAGCACTTATGTAAGCGCTAAAGGCACATTAAAGGACACAGGCCAAGCGCTTCTCCCGTGTTTTTTGCTCGTCTCATAAGTTATGGATCAGTACCAGCTAGCCCGCACCCAGTGCCTTCACGGCTAATAATTTCGCTTTCAAAGGCGCCGATGCTTCTTAACAAGCGTGCACGAGCACGCAGGGCGTTTTAGAGACCGCATTCGCACATCCGCCCATGAAATGCTAATAGGCACTTAACTCCTGAACCCAATACAGACTTAATGTTTCGCAGAATTGCTTAATTCTGCTAATGTACCCACGCATTTTATCCTAAATCCTGTAAGGGTCTAGAAAGGCTGAGGAACACGCACTCCTCTGCCTTTACACCGAAACACTGCCGTGCCCAGCAGTTTCAAAGCACATTTATCTCGCCTGTACAGGAAATACACGCACAATGCGGAGAAGTCTTTGGAGATCTTCCACATGGTGTGGGCATGGCAGTTTACCCGAACCATAACCGGGAGGACTGACAGGCAGCCCTGCCCGGCTGTTCTGATCTCGCGAGCAAGAAAGCCCTGGTTGACCGAGCTCGAGTAGCGATAGTTTCCGATCGATTCGTGTTATGAGAAGCCCACATAGAAGTTGCGACGGGTGGCCCCCTCTGGGTCAGCTCATGCTTACTCCCTGTATATACCTGCAAGAAGATAGTAGCCCTTTTCTCTACATTCTTTTAAAGCAAGGTAACGCCTATAAACGAGTAGATGTACTTAATAAGAGCGACGCTAGTTTGCCGGAAATAGCGTTCATACGCAGTACTGCTTCCGCATCGAATCATTTTGTGGGCACCTGCACAGATATAAGTGATACCGAAGAGCACGTTGAGACATACGATTTCATGACAGGGCACGCTAATATGGAGTTACCATTATTAGGGAGTTTTAGAGTACCGTTTGCAAGCGCTGCGGGCGTTGCGGGCGCCATATGAGTTTTAAAATAGCGTTTGCCCTGCTGCGATCCGCAACGCACGATCGCAGCGACACCATAGTTTCGAAACCAGCGCTTGCGTGCCACATGCGGGCCGCCATCCCCGCCCGTAGCCTCGAAACCAGCACTTGCGGGCCACATGCGGGCTGCCATTACCGCACGCAATTTCGGATTTTTTACGTGCTGTCCGCGAACGCGAACGCTGACTCGCGTTACGACGCATGCGCAGTGGCAGCGACCGAACCGCAAGGGCTCGCGGTGCGCTATTCTAAAACTCCCTATTACTTCGGATAAAATTTACCTGAAAATCATTTACACCATGCCCGCCTTTGCTGAATGATTGTGGCGTCAGATAGCCTTCTATCGTTTAGAGGGACACTAAAGGCAAATACATATTTATGCCAGAGTGAAGAATCAATGTATGACAACGTCTAAAACGTCAATATGATCAACAGCAGTGCCCTACTTTCCGAGAAATTAAGGTAAATACATGAGTTCACATGCGCCACGTGTAGGAAATTCGCAAAATGATCCCGACGACGTCAGAGTTACCGTCTACAATTAATCTCTAGTAATCGAACTAGCTGCGCTAAATAAAGAACATTCCGTGCATCAAGAGACGTGATAAAATGCGGCTTGTTCGTTTCTGTTTATTCATGAAGGAACCGCCAGATGGTACTATGGGTAATGGCGCGAGTGGTTCGAAAGTTCAATTTTCACCTGGTTAAACTGGACAGGTCATGCCATCTAGCGGGGCCCGGTTGAACCAAGCACACCTGCCATCTCGGAGGCCATGACAGAGCATTTTTCAATGGCCGTTGTTGCTGCTGTGGCTCCCGTCACTTTCGCTCTGCTGCTACAAGTGTCGGCGGCCACGCAATAAAGCCGCGCAACGTTGTGCACGGCAATAGCGACGTGAAAGTTTCCACTTTGAGGCGGGTAATGGGAAGCGTGATAACGCGATGCGAACCACTAAAGCATTATTTCAATTCAGGATAAGCACTTCCTTGGCACAAAGGTAGCACTACAGAGGTTTCTGGGTCACTATTTCAGCAATCAACATCGACTTAATGTTTGACATTAGTGTCCCTTTAAATAAAAAAATACTATGTTCTTAAATTCACTGTGCGTCCTGTCGTATACACTCACCGTCCTTGATAGTGAGCTTGTTGTTCTTGGCGACCTTCTCGAGAAAGTGGCGCTTGTAGATGCTCTTCTTCTTCGCTTCACTCATCATCTCCTCGCTGTAGTCCAGTGCGTCCATTGTGCTGTAGCCGAGTTTATTCAGCTGAATAAACATATATAAAACATATATGGCCTCTGAGATAATATCAAACTGTAAGGTTTCTTAATTAAAAGAGCGCAACATTTCTAGAGGATCCAAAATGATTCTTGTAGGCTTGAAGTACTTCCTTATTGTGTACAGGTATGAAGTATACATGACTTCATACACGAAGCAAACCGGCATGTCTATTTTCAAATAAAAACATACCATGCCTAACGATAGACTTTCGAAATAAGAAAAGGTGTGCAATGCTTGCTGAAGCTTGCAGAGGTAGTGTATGTGGCGCGTATACGTAGCTTAAACGCCATTAATGTGCGACAATATCTCCCGTGGCCGTGAACTTCCGTTCTATAACGATTATTTCCTACTCTAAGAAGCGTTGAACGTGCATTTAGCAATGACTGGGACAAATCGCGATCTCTACGTCACGAGCCAGAAGCGAGCAACAATTTGTGGGAAGTGCTTTCACCGAGTACAGCGACAGGTGCTAAAGAGAAATCGGCGATGGAAAGAGGCCCCGATAATCATAGTTTTACGCGTTGTTTTATCCGTAGATGCAACCATACATAATTAGCCACACACCGATTTTCTACAAAAAAAAAATGTTCCAAACCACACGTAAACAATTTAGATTAACGTTCGATTCAACGAAGCGCTTTCTGCTAGAGTTCCCTAGAAAACATGACCTTGGCTACGGAAATGTGAAAACGTGCATATTTAAAACTGTGCCGGCATTCATATTGCGTACTGAGAACAAAGAAACACGGTAGCCATTTGCACCTGCACCCCGAGCAGTCCAGTTCCACATCCCACATCCAGAATGGCGGCGTTTTTCTTGACTTGCAGCTCCTCTTTGAAGAAGTGTGCCATGATGTTGGGAGCCTCTTACTTCTGCATGGTCATGTCCTGGGTAAAAAAATGGTTGTGTTAAGGTAAGCAATGTAATGACATGCAAGCAGCAGACACATCGAGAGGTTCCTGTCGTCATTGTGACAGGCCTATAAACTTGCCTATCTGCGCTTAGGCTTGCGAATAAGCGAGTCAGTATACGTCACTGAGGTCTCATAGGAGGCCACTTGTTCGATCTGTTTTTCAGTATATATTTGTTTCTAGAAGTATTACTTAGAATTCTCCTAAGAAATGACCCAGTAATTATATATGGCGAGGTCTGGTTCCATTCGAATTTCGACCTCAGAGGGGCCCTGTAACACTTTTCTACGTAGCCATCAAATGGATTCACTCGAGCAGCTTATTGCCTGATGAACACACCACCGCGAAAACTTTAGAATCCGTCCAGTACGAGCGGAGTTGCACAGACTTGTCGCACGCTGCAATTGTATTCCCTCTTCTCTTCTCCCGATGAAAACGCTGGAAGTTAGGCAGAGAGGAATGGCAAGGGGAAAGAAAACATGTAACGGAAGCCTCGTGACCTTCAGCATTGTTTCTCCCTCTCTCTTTTTTCCCGAAAAGTCGACGTTTCAGTGCGATAGCGCGCACACGTGCACGCGAACAAGTCGCGGCCTCTCGCGGTAACCCCAGTAACGAACGAGCACGCCATGCTCAAATCAGCCAATGGCTGTTACAACGGCTGTGTCGAGTGATTTGTGAGGTTGTAGTGCCATTTGTGGAGAGAAGAGAGTAATTTTTAGGTGATTCTATGAATTTATTCTAAATGCTAGGTTGCGTGCTGCGCTATATTTTGCTCATGTGTTTTCGGAAGCCTCGTCTACCGGTCGGCAGCGTTTTCTGACCACGCTCATCAAGTGTTGCAGGGACCCTTTAAATGACATTTTGTTCCTTCTCGAACCTTCTTTATTGTCTTGGCCCTCGTGAAGGACAATATTACGAGTAGGAAGTACCAGCTGAGGGGAGTCCGAGACCACTAGGCAGCCATTCCCGAGGCGTCTGCTTAATAGACATGTCACTTCGGCAGAGCGCATTCACCAACTCGACCAAACATTAAGCCGTGACGTCAACCCGCCCTTGTCTACGTTGACACACCGAACCTAGCTGCCAGCACATCCGCAGATTAAGAAAGTGGACGCACTGTAGAGTGACAAAACACAAACATGAGCAGTCTGAAAATGCATATGGACATGTTCCAAATGCCTGAGAACGATGTAGTGAAAGCTAACTACCTTCTAATGTGTGTTACACGCATGGCCACGTTCAAGCATAATTCGAGGCCAGATTTCAAACTCGGCCCCCGAGATGTTCGCCTAAATGCGCATCTCTAGAGGCTGCATTCCTGGCGTTAAGCACATCCCATCCCTCGCATTTTCGTGACAAGACTTGTCAAAGCTTCATGACGTCATAGCGACGCTGCGAGAATAGAACCGGAAACAGGGGAGTGCTGCTTGCCGAGCTCCAGCCAATCAGCAGCGGCTAAGTGAACAGTTCATTAGATGGACACACCAAATATCGCTTCCTCGGTCTATAGCAGGTATAGATTGGGTAACGTGCAGGGAAGTCTCGTACCTCTTCGTAGTTGGGTGCCCAGCTGTTGTAGATGGCCCTCGTCTCCTCGGGCGTCCGGTCGTCGACGACAAAGTCAACGAGGTCGTTGCGGTCCAGGGAGCTCGTCGAGGCCTGCTTGGCCATGCCCTGGTTGAATAGACGGCTGCGTGCAAAGACCGGGTCACACGCGCAAGCATCATCGCACCATGGGGAGGAGCCCGTCAGATAAAGGTCGCAACCTTCCAAGCAAGGTCAGGTCAGCAGGACGAATTGAATAACTGACAACGAACAGAGGGTGGTCGTTTTGAAGGGGATCGTGGAAGTGGTTTGCCGGTAAGTTCACGGGACAAAAAAAAGACGCTCACTTGCAAAATATAAGTATGCCGATGAAACCCAATGAAAGCAACAACTAATGAAGCTAAGAAAAGTACAAGACACTATTCGTAAATTTTAGCTTTTGTGAACTAATTATGACATAATTGGAAATTAATTAAAGTGGATAAAAATGAACTTGCTGTTAGCAGAAGATGGGCCTAAAACCTTCCAATAGAAAGCCTGTGTACATCATCCTTTTACGAAGAAATTCCGCGGACTTCCTTAACGTTATCCGCCTATAGGTGATGCGACGCGACGCGTAAAATGTATTTGCTCGACGCAGTCACTACTTTATATATGAGGCAGTGCACTAAAATGTTCACAACTTCTAATGTACTGCCAAGCTGTCGCACTGCACAGAACCATAGCTAGTGACAGCGGTGTCCAATCACTCATCTTGTGAGCATTGACTGATTGATTGATATGTGGGGCTTAACGTCCCAAAACCACGCTAAGATTTTGAGAGACGCCGTAGTGGAGGGCTTCGAAAATTTCGACCACCTGGGGTTTTTTAACGTGCACCCAAATCTGAGCACACGGGCCTACAACGTTTCCACCTCCATCGGAAATGCAGCCGCCGCAGCCGGTATTCGAACTCGCGACCTGCGGGTCAGCAGCCGAGTACCTTAGCCACTAGACCACCGTGGCGGGGCGATCTTGTGAGCATTGCGAGTTGCGACAAAAGGTTCATTCACACACGCGACCATAGGTCGCAAAGAATTTCGAGCTCACTCAGACTCACGCAAGAAGTATATTTCGCGTTTAGAGCTCATTCGGACTCTGTCTCACCAAAATGTTTCTCAACTCGACTCTCTCTGACTCAAACTGACCAAATATCCCCCGTTCGGACTCACTCAGGCTCAGGGTCACGGCTCGATTCGAGTATGAGTGAAACGACTCAGGAGTAAGTGTGCCGACCTATGCCTGCGTATTACCACCAGTCCGCAAGGCAACCATTGTTCACAGCTGCGTGCGACTTATAACCATTTGTCCCACAGGATTCACGTCTCGTCCCATATGGTTCGCTTTGTAGTTGCCCCCTTGAAGTAAGCTGACGTCCTCTTTCTGTTCATACGTTTGGTTTACAGAGTTGCGAAATCCCAGGATTTTGGGATGTCTGTACGTAGTGCCATCTCTCGGCGGCAACAACGGCGTCCTGCCATAGAAATAGGCTGAAAAAAATACTTGGTGAAAAAATCTAGTTGATGAAAACAAAAACACCTGGCTCTAATACAAAGAGATCAACTGGAACGTTTTGATAAAATTCAGATTCGTATTACAATGAGTCTGACTCCTATAACAATTGAACCCCACCCATTCGGAAACACATGGAGCCTCATTGTGAAATATTAGTAAAAAAGATGCTGACAGGGATCTGGTTAGACACCGTCAGCATTTACAAGATGACACAGCACAGTAATATGACGGTGGCCGAACTGGCACTTTCCTTTTTTGAAGCCCGGATCTTCTGAAGACTGTAAGAATGGTGGCGAGGCGGGAGATGTGGTTCTCGGAAGGTCTATGAAGACATCCCCGTCGTCGAGGTAAACACTTGGGAAACTAAGCGGTATGCATTGCAACCCTGTAATTTTACCAGAATGTTCGAATAGGTATTTGCTCTATAGAACTTGGAATGCTTTTTGGTAACTATGTAGCTTTTCTGTGTGTGAGATATGACTTTCTTTTATGCCCATTTCCCATTCAGTTAAGTCAGGCCACCGGGGTAACCTACGAGAGATCTCCGGTCCGCCTCGGTGGAGCAGCGGCTAGGGTTTTTCGGCTGCTGGGCTAAAGGTCACGGGTTCGTTCCACGCCGTGGAGGTCACATTTCGACGGAGGCGAAATGGTAGAGACTTGTGCATATACTGTGCGAGGTCAGTTTTCGTCAAAAAAACACCATACGGTCAAAATTTCCGGAGCCCTTCACTATAGCCTCTTTCACATTCATACCATGGTTCTGGGACGTAAGACCCCAATATTTAATCGCGCTATGTACACATGTCTACAAATACAGATCATGACCGCACTCGCGCAACTGAAAAAAAAATATATCAGAAGGCGACGGAGCTTAAACCAGTCGCCTTTTTAGACCCCAGCGGCCGTTTGCGACTATCTGTGGCTAATCTGGACCCGCGACAGACGCTATTCGCGGGTGTGAACGAGCTCTTAGGGCCCTCTGACGACCACTCCGCGTAGCGGAGGTTTCGAGACAATGGTGATGACAGTCACTCACCAGGATCGCGAAACCAGGGAACAGGAAAGACGTGGGCGTGGGCTCGTACGGTTATGATAATGACGAATGCGCTTTTTTTTAAGGCATGGCACGTACCCACACCGGAAGATGTCTGAATCGGCCGAATTTTCGACGCACACAACGTAGAGAACAATACAATATGAATCGTAGGATTTCTGTTTCTCGAGCACGAACGCTATTTTCGAAATATAACCTTCGTGTCCAAGAGGTTAGCTTGGGACACGTGCGAAGTGAAAAGAGACGCAAGCGCAGAGCTTTTGGTAACCTATTCTCACCGGGCCAAGAAAAAGAAGAAAAGAAATGAAACTCGAAAAAGCAAACAATTGAAACCAGGCTCAGTAATTATCGTGCCGGTTTGCGTAGAGACGTGCTCGTCATGATATATTGCATGTACATTCGACCGATATAAGAATTCGGCTGTGTTTTGTTTTCTGGCGCTCCGGCTTACAAGGTTCGACCACTAATTCTGTTAGAACGCGAATCTTTACGCTTATGCCTTGGGCTACCTAAAGATGTTGCGAACAATATCCTATACGAAGAATCCCGCCTGCCTTCTCTTATCAAAAGATTTCATATTCTAACAGTACGAACATTCCTTAAAATCTATGCATCACCTCAGCGGAGGTCACAGTATGTGTTCATTAACCAGCAGAACACCCCAATGGTCTAAATTACGGTGCCCTCAAGCAATATTTACACAGAAACTTTTGGACACCTTAAGTGTTAACCTTTGGGAAATACTTGTACTCAACACTGTAGATGCAATTAGGATTGAATTTGATTA